CCGGGCTATATGGCCATGTTCTGGAGGCAATTTTTCTCCTGACGTTTCGCCTGCATCTATGGCAAGCATCCTCAGAGGTAGTGAGGTCTGTTGGAAGTAGAAAAAATGGGTTTATATATCTGTGGAATGACCAGGGTGAGACAAAGGACTTTTGTTTGCTGGGGCTAGCTGTGAATGTTTCAGCTGATCATGCCTTCTCACCATCTAAGTCATTAGCTAAAGACCTTAACTCAAGATTACTGCATATGCATTAGACTTTGCACATGCACACTTTGCCATGGTCTGCTCAATTTGGAAGTCCTGCAAAATGCTGGTGCTTGGAACAACTTCTCTTTGCCTTAAGCAGTGGAGTATGGAGGCAGTGCTGGATTTGGTCAATCCTTGGTCAAAATTATTCAATGTCCCACCTGGGGACGCAGTAGGGATGATGTTTCAATCTTACTCAACATGTTTGCGTCATTTATTCATATGTTTGACTTGATGTTTCACCTTTGAATGGCACGCTTTGTGTAACTGTGCTTCCCATGCTCAGTGACATCCCCTTGTCACAGCACTAAGGCCAGTCCCCCGCAGCGACGATGTTGACAATGACTTCTAGTTATTTATTTCTTGTTCTGAGTTGCTGTCAAGTTGATTTCAGCTGAAAGCAACTCAGTGCATCAGAGACTTCCACAAAACAAAACCCTCTTCACCCACAGCAGACCTTGCAGACTCAGGGAGCAGCCACGGCTTCCTTAAGAGAGCCTGTCCATTTGCAATGAGGTCTCCCTCTTTTCTCTGGATCATGGGTTTTATAGCCTCAATTGACACAAAGACCAAAAAAAAGCCAAAAAACCAAAAAGCCAAAAACATGCTACAAGAAATTTCCGGAATCAAAATTGAAAATAAAGTGAAATACTTAGGAGTAACTATCACGAAGAACAATATCAATTTAATAAAAAATAATTATGAATTATTATGGGAGAAAATAAGGAAAGATCTAAATAGATGGAAATTCAAAAATTTCTCACTATTAGGTAGGATAGCCATAATTAAAATGACAATACTCCCCCAACTCCTCTTCCTCTTTCAAAATTTGCCGGTGTTAAGAAACGACCATCTCTTTAAGAAATGGAACTCAGACGTGAGTAAATTCGTTTGGAAAGATCGTAAACCCAGAGTCAGCATGAAAATCTTAACAGATTGCAAGAAAAGGGGAGGTCTGGGTTTACCAGACTTTAAGGCCTACTATGAGGCGTGCAATCTGGTGGCAATAAAGGAATGGGCCACATTAGAGAACAGGCCACTCCTTGCACTGGAAGGACATGATATCCGTGCCAGATGGCACGGATATTTATGGTACAATAAGAGAAAGGTGGACAAAGCCTTTGCCGACCATTATATAAGAGCAGCCCTGATTAGAACCTGGGAAAAATATAGGCCTAGGTTATACTCGAAAACACCATTATGGATATCCCCAACAGAAGCCAAGCATAAAAGGGAATTAGAGGAAAAAAGATGGCTAAATTATCAACAATTATTAAAGAAAAACGAGGAGGGACAATTAGTTTTAAAGACCTTAGAGGAAATAAAACAGATAAACAATAAAATATCATGGTTAAAATACCATCAAATTCACCAAGAATACAAGGAAGACAGCAAATTGGGTTTTAATCAAAATCCAGGCCTATGGGAAACAGTAATGAAAAAGAAGAGGAAATTAATAAAAATTATCTATCAGCAATTACTCGCATGGTATACAGAGGAAGAGCAAATTAAAAACTGTCAGGTGAGCTGGGCCAAAGATATAGGGCATTCCATCTTAACAACCCAGTGGGAAAAAATTTGGACAACTAAAATAAAGTACACAGAGGCCAGTGACCTGAAAGAAAATTGGTTTAAAATGTTTTACCGCTGGTATTTCACACCTGAAAAAATATCTAAATTTAATAAAAACGGCTCAAATTTATGTTGGAAGTGTGGTAAAGAAAAAGGCACCTTTTTCCACCAATGGTGGGCCTGCAAAATGGTAAGGAAATTTTGGACGGAAGTACACAAAGCAATGCAAAAAATCTTAAAAGTTAATTTTACCCAAACACCAGAAATGTACCTTCTAGGAATCCCGAATATAAAATTAAATGAAAATCAGGAAAAAATAATATTCCTTCTCAGCACTGCTGCAAGAATCCTACTTGCAAAAGTATGGAAAGTGAAAGAAATTCCAACTATAGAAGATTGGTATATTAAAGTGCTGGATATAGTACAAATGGATAATTTATCTCAGAACTTAAGAAGAACAGAAACGCGCACAAACTGGTCAGGCTTTGTAGACTTTATTAAATCAAAGGGGTTCCCATTACAAATCAACCTGACTTGCATATGAAGTAAAGGTACTACTAAGGGCTATGCTGACTTCAAATTACAGCAAAAATCGGAAATGAAGACGCCTGGAAGACTGTCGGGAAGCTACTCCTTTTCCTGAGGCCCTCCCCTCTCTCACGTTTCCCCAACCCCCTCACTTCACCCTAACCCAACCCTATCCCTACCTACCTACCCTATCCCTACCCACCCAAACACAGTCCCAAAACCCAATCACATTTCTATTTCTATTTCTGTATGTACGAGAAAAACTGATAAAAATAAAATAAAATAAAAAAAATTGACACAAAGACAAGAAACTGAAACTTTCTTTTCCGCTGTCTGTAATGTTCCCTCTCGGAATCTTTCAGTTTCAGGATCTCTGTGTCTCTTTCTGCTCTATAAACATCTTGTTGTTTTCTCTTTTGTTCCAACAACAATTCCCATGTTGTCAAAGGCTTTAATGGCTGGGATCACTGGGTTATTGTAGGTTTTTTTGGGCTGTATGGCCATGTTCTAGAAGCATTCTCTCCTGATGTTTCGCCTGCATCTATGGCAAGCATTCTCAGAGGTTGTGAGGTCTTTTGGAAACTAGGAAAAACTGCAACAATTCAATTCCTGTTTTCTTTTTGTTCCAAAGCAAAGCAAAACCATCTTTCTGTGCCGTTTCTCTCCCCATTCCATCTCTTTGGGTCAGCTCGACCTCTCTCCTGGCTTCTCACACACTTCGCCTTAGCAATGCAGTAGCAAAACTTTTATCTATCCACATTCCTTCATTCTTCCACCTTTCCTCCTCCTCCTGTCTCTTTAACTCATTCTAACTTTGTGAAATTCACTTTACATCTTCCTAGCCCCAACAGTTTACCTTGGAACCCATTCATTGGTTGTGCTGGGAGTCCGTAATATCTGCAGAGCTCTCTTCCAGCGCCAACCTCAAATAGGTTGCTATCTCATCCTGTCACCATTCTTCGCTGTCCAGCTTTGAATCAGAACCATACATGGAAATGGGGAACACAGTGTCATGGATAAGTCAGGCTTTGGTATTAGAGGATATGAATTCTTCACATTAGAGCGGTCTTTCTCAACCTTCCTAATGCCGTGACCCCTTAATACAGTTCCTCATGTTGTGGTGACCCTCAACCATAAACTTATTTTCATTGCTAATTCGTAACTGTAATTTTGCTACTGTCATGAATAATAGTGCAAATATCTGATATACAGGATGCATTTTCATTCACTGGACCAAATTTGGCACAAATAACAAATATGCCCAAATTTGAATACTGGTGGGGTTGGGGGGGGGGGTTGATTTTGTCATTTGGGAGTTGTAGTTGCTGGAATGTATAGTTCACCTACAATCAAAGAGCATTCTGTGCTCCACCAATGATGGAATTGAACCAAACTTGGCACACAGAACTCCCGCGATCAACAGAAAACACTGGAATGGTTTGGTGGGCATTGACCTTGAGTTTTGGAGTTGTAGTTCACCTACATCCAGAGAGCACTGTGGACTCAAACAATGATGGATACGGACCAAACTTGGCACAAATACTCAAAATGCCCAAATGTGAACTCTGGTGGAGTTTGGGGAAAATAGACCTTGACATTTGGGAGTTGTAGTTGCTGAGATTTATAGTTGACCTACAATCAAAGAGCATTCTGAACCCCACCAACGATAGAATTGGGCCAAACTTGGCACACAGTTCTCCCAGGACCAACAGAAAATACTATGTTTTCTAATGGTCTTTGGTGACTCCTCTGACACCCCCTCGCGACCCACCCCAGGGGCTACAACCCCCAGGTTGAGAAACACTGCATTAGAGAACCTTGTGTCATTCCTTGATGGCTTCCCTCCCAAGTCCTTGTCTTCTTTGCCTATTACATTACTCGTAGAGTCTTCATTTTTGTAGAACATCAGGTGCCTTTGTGATTTTTGGCCTATACGATGTTCTAGAGATGGGACCCAAGTCTGTATTTACATGAAATTGTTTTATGTTTCATATGCACCTTATACTCATGACCTGAATGTAATTTTATACAACATTCTGAATGACTTTAAGTCACGCGTGTGTGGTTTGAAACCATCAGGAAGACATAGTGTCACAATCTCAGCCAGATAAAGTACTTGCGGGTCCTTCAAGTGTTGCTCCTCCACACATTGTTCAGACATTATTGTTGTGTGCTTTCAAGTTGTTTGCACCTTTGGTACCCATAAGGCAGACATGGGCAAACTTGGGCCCTCCCTCCAGGTGTTTTGGACTCCAATTCCCATCATTCCTAACAGCCGGTAGGCTGTTAGGAATGGTGGGAGTTGGAGTCCAAAACACCTGGAGGGAGGGCCCAAGTTTGCCCATGCATGTCCTACGGCAATGGCATCACGGGGCTATAGTCGAATATTACTCCATTGGGTTGTTGTAAATTTTTTGGGCTATATGGCCATGTTCTAGAAGCATTAGCTCCTGATGTTTTGCCTGCATCTATGGCAAGTATCCTGAGGATGCTTGTCATAGATGTAGGCAAAATGTCAGGAGAGAATGCTTCTAGAACATGGCCATATAGCCCAAAAAACCTACAACAACCCAATGATTCCAGCCATGAAAGCCTTCGACAATACTTTATTACTCCATCTTTTGTTTTAATTTTTTCCTGTGACCGCCCCACAGGCCCACGTCTTTGACCTGAGCATCAACAAGTACGAGCCTATCTGCAACCAGCCGGTGGTGCCCAAGAAGAAGAACAAGATCACCCACATCCAGTTCAATGCCATCTACCCCATCGTCATCATTGGGGACGAGCGCGGCCACATCACCTGCCTGAAGCTGTCTCCCAACCTCCGCAAGATGCCCAAGGTAAGCCCTTTCCTTGCCTGGTCACCTTGGGGGAGAGCCTGGCAGACTGGAGAGCCATGTGCCAATTGACACGGCTGAGGAAGGTAGGTTCCGCTATTCAGTTGGCATCTGGAACAAAGAGTTTTGGGGTGTGTTGTCAAAGGCTTTCATGGCTGGAATCACTGGGTGGCTGGAATCACTGGGTGGTGACCATATTCCAGCAGCATTCTCTCCTGCCTCGAGAGCAGTACGTGTGAAAAAGATCTTGGAGTCCTCGTGGACAACAAGTTAAACATGACCCAACAATGTGATGCGGCGGCAAAAAAAGCCAATGGTATTTTGGCCTGCATCAATAGGCGCATAGGGTCTAGATCTAGGAAAGTCATTCTACCCCTCTATTCTGCTTTGGTCAGACCACACCTGGAATATTGCATCCAATTCTGGGTACCACAATTCAAGAGAGATATTGACAAGCTGGAATGTGTCCAGAGGAGGGCGAGTAAGACGATCAAGGGTCTGGAGAACGAGCCCTATGAGGAGCGGCTTAAGGAGCTGGGCATGTTTAGCCTGAAGAAGAGAAGGCTGAGAGGAGATATGATAGCCATGTATAAATATGTGAGAGGAAGCCACAGGGAGGAGGGAGCAAGCTTGTTTTCTGCTTCCCTGGAGACGAGGACGCATGGAACAATGGCTTCAAACTACAAGAGGAGATTCCATCTGAACATGAGGAAGAACTAGACTGTGAGAGCCATTCAGCAGTGGAAACTTCTTTGCCCCGGATGGTTTGGGGATTGGTGGAGCTCCTCTTTGGAAAGCTTTTAAGCAGGAGGCTGGATGGAGGGCCATTTGTCTCAGGGAGTTGATTTGGAATGCATATTCTGCTCTTGCAGGAGCGGTTTGAGGGACTGGATGGGGGCCCATTGAGGTTTTCTGCTGCCCTGGAGACTAGGACGCAGAACAATGGCTTCAAACTACAAGAGAGAAGAAACATGAGGAAGAACTTCCTGACTGTGAGAGCTGTTCAGCAGTGGAACTCTCGGCCCCGGAGTGTTGTGGAGGCTTCTTCTATGGAGACTTTTAAACAGAGGCTAGATGACCATCTGTCGGGGGTGTTTAAATGCAATTTTCCAGCTTCTTGGCTGGGGATTGGGCAGGATAGCCCACAAGGTTACTTTCAACTCTATGATTCTATGATTCTATGATCCCACAGTTCAATGGCCAGGGGTCCAAGCAGGAGTCCCCCAGCTTCACCAACTGGGAGCGACCCTCCTAAAACAGCTGGAGGGCTGAAGTTTGCCCATGACTGAGCTAACACACCCAGTTCCCTACATTATTGGTTGTTGACCTGTGACAAGGACCAAGGAAAGAAACAATTGTAGTCTCCAGATGGATGATTCCATATTCAGCACCTTGGATAGCTCCCTTATCAGTGAGAGTTCAACATCCTTTCTGTGTGTTGCTGTTACGAAAGCACTCCCTTGACTGGGATTGATGGTTCACCTACAATCAAGGAGTATTCTGAACTCTACCAACGATGGAATTGAACCAAACTTGGCACACAGAATGCCCACGACCAACAGAAAACACTGGAAGGGTTTGGTGGGCGGTGACCTTGAGTTTGGGAGTTGTAGTTCACCTACAGAGAGCACTATGGACTCAAACAATGATGGATCTGGACCAAGCTTGGCAGGAATACTCAGTTTGCTGAATGTGAACACTGGTGGAGTGTGGGGAAAATAGGCCTTGACATTTGGGAGTTGTAGTTGCTGGGATTTATAGTTCACCTACAATCAAAGAGCATTCTGAACCCCACCAACAACAGAATTGGGCCAGACTTCCCACAAAGAACCTCCATGAACAACAGAAAATGCTGTGTTTTCTAATGGTCTTTGGTGACCCGTCTGACACCTCCTGGCGACCCCTCCAGGGTCCCGACCCCCAGGTTGAGAAACACCGTTCTAAGGTGACAAAGCCTAGGCTACCTCTATGCAGATACCCTCACCGACTGACTTTGCAGCTTCATGGCTACTCAATGCAATTCAAGCTCGCTAATTGTAACATTCACGCTTGCTTTACACGGACAACTATTCTTTCTCCCACCCTGGACATTATTCCACAGGTATATATATACAACGCACCTGCCTCACTGCCAACAGACCTCTGAAGATGCCATTAGCCACAGATGCAGGCAAAATGTCAGGAGAGAATGCTACTGGAACATGACCAAACAGCCCAAAAAACGCACAGCAACCCAACGCTATAAGTATTCTTTATTGCATATGAAGAAGTGGGTTCAGATCCATGTCAGCTCAGGCAACAACAAAAGAACAGTTAGTCTTAAAAGTGCGTCAACATTTCTTCTCCTTTCGTTTTCCTCCCCGCGCCTTCCTCCTTTTGATGCTATGAATATAGTCTAGACTGTGAAACGCTGTAAGACGGCAGCCTTAAAAGCCAGGCAATCTCCGAAACGGCTAAACTAGCTTTAATTAGCCTCCTGATGTACCAAAGTGTGGAAGTGTTTGTGAGCTGATGCTGCAAGGAGGAGGAACCGCCTGCCCTTGCTTGCTTTGGAGCTGCCTCTTTGGCTTTAGGGTTGTTGTTTATTCAATTGTGTTTTGTTCCAAAGGAAAGAAAATATGATGAAAAAGCAATAACAATGCCCAAAAAGCAACATGTTTATAATATATCATTCTCAAACTTCACAGCTATGTTCCAGCTCTCTCGACAAACAGCAAAACTAAGTCAGGAATAAAGCACAAAGCAAAGCACAAACCTACGCACACCAACCAAACTAGCTAACAAATGAGGAAGCAATTCTAAAAATCTCCCTTACTTTACTCACTTAGGCAATCCTTCATTGTCCAAGTAGGATTGTCTTCCAAGATCGGTGTCCTGGCGATGGGTATGTAGGTGACTGTGGAGCCCTGTTCTTGACCTGCATGTTCTCCTGGAGTGAGAACATGGGTTTCCAGGTGGAAGGTGGTCCCGGTTGGAGTTGGTTTGATGCTCCTTCCTCTTGGCACGTTTCTCCCTTTTGCCCTCCATTCATGCCTCTTCGAATTCTGCAGCACTGCTGGTCATAGCTGACCTCCAACTGGAGCGCTCAAGGGTCAGGGCTTCCCAGTTCTCAGTGTCTATGCCAGAGTTTTTAAGGTTGGCTTTGAGCCCATCTTTGAATCTCTTTTCCTGCCCACCAACATTTGGTTTTCTGTTCTTGAGTTTGGAGTAGAGCAACTGCTTTAGGAGACAGTGGTCAGGCATCCAGACAATGTGGCCGGTCCAGCGGAGTGGATGGCAGAAGACCATCACTTCAATGCTGGTGGTCTTTGCTTCTTCCAGCACGCTGAAATTTGTCTGCTTGTCTTCCCAAGAGATTTGCAGGATTTTCCGGAGGCAACACTGATGGAATCGTTCCAGGAGTTGCATGCATGTGACGTCTGTAGATAGTCCACATTTCGCAGGCATATAGCAGGCTTGGGAGGACAATAGCTTTGTCAACAAGCCTCTTGGTCTCCCTACAGATGTCCCGGTCCTCAAACACTCTCTGCTTCATTCGGAAAAATGCTGCACTCGCAGAGCTCAGGCGGTGTTGTATTTCAGTCTCAATGTTGACTTTTGTGGAGAGGTGGCTGCCAAGGGAGCGGAAATAGTCCACATTTTCTAATGTTTCACCATTAAGTTGTATCGCTGGCATTGGGGAGGGGATGGCTGGCGACTGCTGGAACAGCACTTTGGTTTTCTCGATGTTCAGTGACAGGCCGAGCTTCTCGTATGCTTCTGTGAAGGTGTTTAGAGTGTCTTGTAGTTCTTCTTCTGAATGCGCACAGACGACATTGTCATCAGCATACTGGAGTTCTATAACAGATGTTGTTGTGTCCTTGGTTTTGGCTTTCAGTCTGCTGAGGTTAAATAGCTTGCCATCTGTCCGATAGATGATTTCCACTCCAGTGAGAAGTTTCCCATCAACAAGATGAAGTGTCATAAAAACCTCCCATTCACTTATCCTTTATTCTTCTTCTCCATTTAAATGATATTATGCAGTGACTTGACTGATTCATGAACCCTACTGTTGACAATTTCCCTATTGTTGTGAAAGATGATAAACCAGTCCCAGTCTTTCTTAACTTTCATCAAAGATTTTTCCTAGATCAGCATTGTCAGTTTATCCATCTTGGACAATTATCTGCAGATCTCTGCTGTCCATTCTTGCTGCAGCTATGATATACTGTAGCAACCTCCCCAAGTTATCTTCCTGAATGCACATCCAGCATTCCCAGCAAATATAACTCTGGTCTCATCAGGAATTTAACCATATCTGTTTCTTCAAGTAACTTTTGTATTTCTCAGTATTTCTGGGCTTTGGTTATGCAACTGAAGGGATTTTAAGCCAGGCTTTCTTGGGACAGCTCTGCCTTGCTCTGGCCTTTTGTAACCTGAATATGATGTATTTTACATTTTTGGATGCTTCAAAATGTGTTTTCTATTTCACATGCATTAATGAGGTGGCATTTTATATTATTATTCCTGCCTCTTTGGTAGCAATTGATCTGCAAATCCTTCTGCTCCCCATTTCTGTCTCTGGGGTGCATCTACACTGTTGAATTAATGCAGTTTGTCACCCCTTTAAGTGGCATGGCCCAATGTTGTGGTTTACTGGGAGTTGTAGTTTGGTGAGACACCAGCACCCCTTGGCAGAGAAGGCCTTGTAAAACCGCACCTCCCATGAATCCATAACATTGACCCACAGTCAAAACTGCATTAATTCTACACTGTGGATGCAACCCTGGTGGCACCCAACATAAGAGGGGCAATTCTCCGGAGGCGTCCGCAGAAGCTCTGAAGTCATTTCATTCAGATTTCATGCACAATTAAATGCAGGCGTCTACCAGAGAGTGTTTGAAAAGTTCAATTAAAAAGCAATTAGCAATCGGATCCAGTTAAGCTATGGGTGTAAAAAGGCATAAAAATAAAAACAAAAAGGAGGAGGAGGAGGACACCGTGCCTGCGACTTGCCCTTTTTC